GGGAGGGACCAGGGCCCGGAGCTGCGGAGCCTGCAGCGGCCGGGGCTGCAGGGCCCGGGGGGTTAGAGGCCGGGGAAGCCCGCGACTGCGGGCGGGGATGGCGCGGAGCCGGGAAAGCATCGCTGGCCGGAGCTGGACCACTGGTGGGCGTGGCTGCTCCTCCGGGTGGGGCCGCCGGGCGGGAGGGGCCGGCGGCTCCCGGGAGGAGAGCGTCTGAACCGCCAACCCAGCGGAGCGCACCGGGCAGAGGACGCGCCCCCCGGGCGGCCGGGAGCTTTCCAGGTTGGGGGCGCCGGACTGCTGCAAAGCCGGTGCAGGGCAGCCGGAACCTCTCAAAGGAGACTCGGGGCTTGGCAAGGTCACACGGCCAGTTCTCCCAGTTGGACCTTAGCCACAGAAGAGAAATTCCTCCGCCCAGATCCTAGCTTGTAGCCTGGGGTGGGAGGTGGAGGAAGTTGGATTTTAGCAGCCTCTCATTTAGATAATTCTCAGGGTCTCGTTTCCTTACAATTGGGCATCATCTCCTAGCTTACACCAGCTCTGGGCCGTCATAACCTTGATGTTATAAAAGCAGGTCTTAAGACCCCATTTGGGTTAGGAGGATCATAGGCGCATCTGTTTCTTGTCTCATTCCCTGTCTCGCTTACTCTAGGCCATACAACTGAGTCATCTGTACATGTTGTCTTTGGTCCTAGAGGATGTTTGAAGCCAGCTATTCATTTGTGTAAAAAAAAATCTTTATTGTATTTTAAATTATTTATTGTTCTGGGACAGGAATACATACCATGGCTTGCCTGTGGAGGACAGAGGACAGCTGTGGTTCTCCCCTTCCACCATGAGGGTTTCAGGGATTGAACCTAGGTCATCAGGCTTGGGAGCAAGTGCCTCTACCCACTGAGCCATCTCGCTGGCCCCCAGCTATTCATTTCTAAATAATTATAGGGTTGAGCTTAGCCACTTGTTCTTCCAGATCATTAAAGCATCTTTACTATTAAAGCATCTTTACTAGTATTATTATTACTAATGATGACATGTGTGTGCACAGGTGCATGCATGCCACAGCATATGTATGGAGGTGGGGGAGACAACTTTTGGAAGTCTGTTCTCTCTATGGGGAATTCTGAGTTCCAAACTCAGGTTGTAAGGGTTGCGTAACATTTTTATACACTCAGCCATCTTGCAATAAAACTCTGTGTGTGTGTGTGTGTGTGTGTAAATGTAGTTTTACAATTTCAAGGTAGCAATAATAGCTATGAATGGATAAGGTGTACCTGGGAAGCTGTAGGCTCACTATAAATATTACTTCCACTAAGGTGTCCCTTTAGAAAAGTTCTGTATAAATGGAATGTCAAAAATTCCATACATCATTTTAGGTTGCAAAAATATCTTCTCCTGAGTCCCAGAATGTTGCTTTTTCATGTGTGTGGTTTTTGTTGTTTTGGGGTTTTTGTTGTTGTTGTTTTGAGAGAGTGTCTTCCTGTAGCCCCAGCTGACCTGGAATTTTGTGAAAACCAGGCTGATCTCCATCTCACAGAGATCTTCCTGCCTCTGCCTCATGAGTGCTGGGATTAAAGGCGTGGGCCAACATGCTGTAATGTGTTTTCTTAAAGTGACCTCACAGTAACCTACTGCTCTGTATTTAGCATTTTCAGAGTGGTCTAACCATAGTCCCACTGGAAGCCAGAGGCCCTATTTTCTGTCTTGCTTGACCATTTCCTTGAGGTTCCATGACATTTTTTATTTTTATTTTTTCAAGACAGTGTCTCATGTAGCCCAGACTGGCCTTGCACTTGTGTAGCTAAGGATGGTTTTGAACTTATGATCTTACTGCCTCCACTTCCAAAGTGCTAGGATTGCAGACATGGACTGTCATGTCTGATTTTATGGGTGCAAGGGATTGAACTGAAGGCTCTGTGCTAGGCAAGCTAGGCATATTTTGTATAGCCTTGTTTCTCACAGCTTCCTCAGAATCACCCATTGGAGATTGTTAGGGCTCAGAAAACAGTAGCCCAAAGTCTGGTCCTTTGGCATAATAAGGATTCTGAATGGAAAGAAAGCAGGCTGACTCAGGCACAGTTTCTTTCAGACCTTCTCCTGCCCTTCTTTCTCCCATGACCCTTTCTCCCCTAAGGTGAGATATAGAAACCAGAATTCATTTTCCCAAAGCAAGTCATAAAAACTAGAACCCCTCTTCCCCAAAGCCAGCTTTAAATCCTAAAAAAAATCACCACAGCACCCCCCTATTGCTCTATGTAGGTGTGGGCCATAAAGCAATCCCCTGACCTTCCTAGGCTGATAGTAAGTCAGTCAGTTATATGATACTCCTTTCAGAAGGGCTCCTGACCCATACCCAGGAGGAGGACTTGCTATACTGGGGCCCCAACAAGACTCTGGACAGACCTGGCTGTGTTTTCTCACCTCGGTCTACTAGCATTAGACCATAGTTGCTGGCATAAAAAAAATGACTGTGCTTTACAAGGACATGAGAAATTTGTTTATTCTGAGCTAAATATGAGTGACCATAGCCTGGAGTGACCATACCTTGAATGACAGTCTGTCATGGTAGAGGATAAATGAATTTGCGTAGTCATAGAACAAAGAAGACAATAAATCAGTTGATGATAAATCATTATCAATTTTGATAATTGAAATGGTGGGGACATTGGTTAGGTGGGCTATAGCAAAACAGAGAACTCTTTCTATAGGTTTTATGTTCCACCTGTGACCAATCCTGGAATAGGAAATCATAGAGATGCTCTTCAGTGAGGGAGGTTGTGAGAAAGGTAGACACAGCATCTGGACCCTCAAAGGCTGCTCCATTCAAGCCTGGTTATGTGGACCTTGGCAGTGATTTGCATGCAGCTTAAACATTCAGCTTCAGGTTGACGTCTCTGAGAATGGGTTATACAAAGCTTTTAACATCACTGACTATTACAGGCTGTTAGCAAGTTGTCATCCCAGCAAACTGATTCTGATCATCTTTTAGATAATTCTGGAGAAAGTGAGATAGAGTTCTCAGAAGGAGCTGCATCCACATTAAAGATCTCATTGACTGCTTGACCATGGCTAAGTAGAATTCCCTGCTGATGCAGACAGAGGAATGTTGTAGCTGGAAGTCAAAGTAATCTTGGGCTGTCTTAGTCCCTCTAAGAGCCATTTGCCTTCAGGCTCTGTGACTGACCTAACATCCTTGTGACTACCATGTAAAACTCTTGGAATGAGGTACTAAGCTGCACCAACCGCAAAGCTCAGAATCTTTTAAAATAACTGGAACTGCGGCATGTTCAATCATGGGTCTGATGTTTTGTCATAATGTCACAGAGCCTCAAGCACAGAAGTAGCTTCCCCAGATATATGACCATTTTCTAAGATATATTATGCCATGAATTAGTGTACCCCTAGAACACCAGTCTTAAGGTCTTGATCATCAGTCTGTGAAGCTATGTGGGCCTGGTAGAACCTCTAAGATATGGATCCTAGTGGAAGAAGTTAGGTCATTGGAAGCAGGGAACACTGGGACTTCAGCTCCTTCCTCTGTTTCCTGGCTGCCCTGAGCCAAGAGCAGCTTTTCCTGCCAAGTGTTTCCACTGTGATATCCGCACTGTCTTGCCATAGGCCCCAAAGAAACAGGCCACAAACCATGGACCGATACTTCTACAACTATGATGAAAATAAGGTTTTCTGTTTTATAAGTTGATTAGCTAGAGTATTTTGGGGTTTTTTGTTTTGTTTGTCTTTTTGAGACAGGATGCCCCTGTTAGCTCCAGTTGGCCTGGAACTCACCAGGTAGACCAGGCTGGCTTTGAATCATAGAGATCCACCTGCCTCTGCCTCCCAAGTGCCAGAATTAAAGGCATGCACCACCATATCCTGCTCAGGTATTTTGTTGTAGTAATGCCAAATAATGCATATTATTTATGTACCATTTCTTTATAGATGACTTCCACATTCAAATTTAGCCCTGCCATCTCCTGAGCTTCAGCACTATGAAAGGATGCTGTTTCTGCTTGTCCCGTCAATGTCCCTAAAGCTAAAACCTCCATTCCAGATTCAACTGTCTTAAAAAGAATGATGTATTTTCTCATATAAAAAGAAAACCGGGCATAAGTCAGCTCCAAAGTTAGTTCATTTAGCATCTCAGCAAAACCAGGGACCCATATTTTCACCATATTTCCACTCTGATATCCTTAGGATAATACCCTTCCTAATACAAAATAGCTACCACAGTGCTGTG